TAACCGAATTATGGAAATTTGTAGGCAGCCCTTAGCCAAATGGCTGATTAGACTTGGAAAGGCAGAACATTTTGGTTCTTCCAAATACATTCAGACGAAAAAGAATTCAGTGTTGATAAACCGGATTTCGCCCATTATAGCATTGGGTTTGGCTGAAATCCACCCAATATTTTCATTTCCTATTTATCATTCAGGAGAATGTCATTCCAAAATTGCCGCCAAAACTTTCAGTAGTTAAGAAAAGTAGGTAGGTCCCTAATTTGGTACAACTTTAGCTTAATGACGCAGTGTTGGTGTATAGACCATGCTCCTGCAAAATCACTGCTCAATTCTCTATCATTTAGGAGTTAAATCATTTTGTTTATGAAACCATGGCCACACCTCCCTGCACGTGACTTATACAGCTTCACTAAAGATCTAATGTTTAAACTTCCTTTTATTGCACAGTCTAATTACATTTTTAACATTTCTTATATCCTACACTGTTCATTGCCTGTTATATCCTGCAGGAGCCTCCTGTTCAATTTACAGAGCATACGATAAAAACTTCCAATGCAAGTTAAAATCTGATTTAAATGTTCTTTTTCATGCAGGCTGTGAAGGAAGCTATATACATTGGCTCTCATCCGTTATTTTTTGGTTTGGTAGATAAAACTTATAGTGTTAAGAAGTGGAGCAATGTTAGAGCTAAAGGACAAAACCCCTTTCCCACATGCAATCAAGTAATAATAAAAAAAAAAAATTATACTTATATTGCTTGTTGCTTAATATCCCAATTCAAGCTCAGCATATATGGGAAAAAATATGTGAAAAGGATCATAGAACAGATCTGCATGAATCAGTGAATATTATTGAATTCTATAAAAACTGAATTAAATCAGCTTAATTAGCTGGATGAAAGTTTATTACAGTATTGCCACAAATTAAAAACAGAAGATAATAATCAATACATAACAGGCTATAAAAAGTAATAAAAGAATGATAATAATAAAAACATAAAATACACCTAAAGGTGTATTGCTCCACTTCTTAACACTATAATTTCTATTTCTTGTATGTGGTGAAGGGATCACTTTGAAGTGTGGTATCAGGCAATTAAAGAGATACTGTGTAATACACAATTGTTAAATAACTCTACTTTACCCCTGTAGAACTGTGTATATTAAGCGCTCCAGTATTGTAAGTTTTTTGGTAGATAAAACTACTGAACACCGACCACCCCCCTGGTTTATTAAGTTCAAAGAAAAGCACAGGAATTAGCCCTCTCCCTATGTGGCCGCCGTTCATGTAACCAAACAACACGTGTGGGAGAAAACGGGGGCCATCTTGGCGCACAAAAAGAGGCAGCGGGACTTGGTCTTCGAGTGTCTGGAAATCAAATTGGGCACTCGACTTCCCGAACGCCAGTGGACTTCACGATCACCAGCCAGGAATGCGCTGTTCGGTAGGTTTGTTCTCATAAACCCAGGGAACAAACGCTACCTATGAGCCAGGGGCACAGTGCATGGATTTGTTCTGTTTGGGACTCCCGAAATAGAACAACCGCTACCCAGGAAACTCTGGAACTGTTTTGGGCAAGCGCCTCATGAGCATTCGGTCAAATTTTTACCACGGTGGCGATACGGCTGTGTTCATGGTATCTGAGCACTATTTGGACAATTTGGGCGCTCAGATCCAAGCTATCCAGGGTTATGTCATTTATGGGGGTCCCTATAATATTTATGTGTTTTATTATGTACTTTTGATATTTTATATTTTATGTCGAGTCATTGTGACTCAGGAATGTAAGGTGCGTGTTGTGGTAGTTTCTGTGTGCGTGTATACTGTCTCCGTTTCTTGCATAAAAGCCGTCCGTTTGGCCTGAATAAAAACATTCCTGTTGTACCCTTCATCTAGTTCAGGCTGAAAGTCCCATAACAGGTGCCATACTAAGGAGGAAGATGTGTTTAGTAGATTGTTCCATATATTGGTTTTCATAAATATGGCAATCCCACATAAGAATACCAAATTAGAGCACTATTAGAGCTGAAAGATTAAAATTGTAGATTACGCTAGCTTTAGTGGTTTTATAATCTTAATTTTAATAATAGGCGAGTATTTTCCCTCCCTACCCAGGGAGTACTTTGTCTTTTGGATCTAATTTTATATGGTATTAATGTCTTTTTATCTGGTTTGCTATTTTTATTTGCAGTATAATTATAGTCATGGCCATTTATGTTTCATAACAAGATATGCTTACCGCTCCCATTTGTGAGTTGATTATTATCTGTACACTGCTTATCACTGTTACATTGACCTGTTGCCTTTCACGTATTTCTCTTTTGTTTCAGTGTGATCTTCTTCATGTCTGTATGTCTGCGTTAAACATGTACTTCTCTTATGGATTTTTCCAATTCTTTGCCTAGGCTTTCAAATGCTTTCTTCTCTGTTAAAAAGGTTATTTTTTGTTTTTGTTTGTTCATTGATTGTGAATTTTTCTTCGCACCAAAGAAAGAGGAGCAGCCTATTGAGTTTGGGGCTTATATTGCCTCCTATGCTGTTTCTGATTGGTCGATGGTTTTTCTACTAGTTTGGTGCTGCTGAGGAGCTCAGCAAATGAAGATTAAGTGAAATTTGTAGCCTCTTGACATGTCTTAAAATTAAGAAAAGCAAGCACTTCTATTAATGTTGATCTTTTAGCGGTTTAGTAAATAACTCCCTAAATAAAATGTGCACCCTTATGTGGTATTGCCATATTTAAGGGTACCAAACTAGGAAACTGTTTAGTAGATATCTCCCTAATTTAATACCCTTAAAGGAAAACTATAAAGTAAGGAATACAAATGTGTATTCCTAACGCTAAAGTTTCCTGGTGGCAATTTAGACATAAAAAAAGTAGTTTTACTTTCCTTTTCTCCCTAACATCACCTGTCTCCACAGCTGATCCCGCCTCCTTGGCTAAGACAATCGAGATCGATGATCTCAGCCAACCAAATGTTTCCCCACAGGAAATCACTGGGAGGCCACAGTGCATGCACCATCTGATAGAGATAATAGAATTTTACTCTGGTACAAGGCAAAAGTGACACCCATTAGAGGTACCTAAACCCTGTAATGAAAACATTGTTTTTAGCTGCAGGCTTAAAACGGGGAGACATGGCACCGAGTCCACTTCATGTAAATGAAGTGGTCTCTGTGCCTTTAGTGTTCTTTTAAAGGGACACTATAGTCACCAGAACAACTACAACTTCAAGCAACACTGTCATGGCCGCATCTGTGGTTTTTTTTTTTTTTAAACCCCCCTCCCGACTGCAATACATTTTATTATCCCCCTAGTCACCCCCAAATGCCTCTAGGCCCCACCACTTCCTAACCCCCCCATGCCCTCTGTCATATTATGATGGTAAATATGAAACCCATATTAGCATAAGGGATATTAAAATCTCCCGAATGCCCCAACTCGCTATACCGCGAGTAGGGACATATCCGGCTGCTCACTTTTTATTAAAAAAAAAGACCCCCAAGGCCAATCGTGACAGTGCCCTTCCCAAGCCCTCACCCGCTGCTAAGTGACAAATGAGGGGCCCCTAAGTAACAAAAGGGGAGAAACTTATTGTCTTCATCCCAGCCCTCACCCATAAGCAGCAGGTGGGGCCCCTTCAATGACAAAAAGGGGGACCTATTGTCCCCCCCAGCCTCCACCCATTGGCAACGGGTGGGGGCTAAATGTAAAAATTACTCCCTCAGGTGACTAGGGGTCCCTAAGCCCCTAGCCACATCCCTGCCCGAATAAAATAAAACCCTACCTACCTCCCCTCACCCTAAAAATAGTGAGGGTGGAACAATAAGCTAAATTATATACCTGTAAATTGAAAAATAAACAAAAAACATACTTACCATTAGATGTCTTCGTTTTTCTAAAACCTTATTTTTTCAGCACCAAAAAAGGCCAAATAAAAATCCATAAATCATGTCAAACCTATAAAATAAAAAAAATCCAAGCGCAGAATAAAAAAGCCACACGGTGAAAAAACAACAACCCAATGCTAAAAAATAATCCATCTTGCCGTTTGAGGGCTCCGCACAGACTAGCTCCGCAGGGCAGGGAAAGGCTTATAAAGCCTTCCAACGCCCTGCAATTTGACTGAGTGCTCTGATTGGTTGGGTTAAGCCAATCAATCAGAATGCTCTGACACGTAAATCTTGAGCTTTACCTGCAAGCGTTTTGTCACGTATGCACAATAGCTTCATGATGCTTTCCTTTGGGAAAGCATTGGGTAGACTGAGAATGTCGAATCTGATGATCTCAGACAAGGAGGCAGGGCGGGCCAGCCACGGCGAGACTAGTGCGCGCTGGAAAAAAGGTGAATAAAACAGTTTTTTAAAGTAAGCTGAACATTAAATATGGCAATCCCATATAAGGTTATCAATCATATTTAGAAAGCCATCTACTAAGCAGATGGAAGAAAAGCTGTTTTCTTAATTGAAAAGTCATTAATTATTCAGCTGTTTAGTAGATAGCTCCTTAATTTAGGATTGCTAATACCAATATTTAATTGTACCAAGTAAGGGAGCTGTTTATTAGATAACTCCATAGTTTGGTACCTTTAATTATGACTATGACATAATTAACTAGATCATTAATTTGGTTCTCTTATGTGGGATTAACATATTAAAGACACCAAATAAGGGAGCTATCTACTAAACACAACAGCTCCTTAATTTGATGCCTTTAAATACGGTAATCCCAATTTAATGAATTTGCAAGAATTAACTAATGAATTAATAAAGAATAGCAGAATTTTGTTCATCGTATAATTACTTCATTCTTCCATTCAGAGATTTGGATGAATGACTGAATTTGTTGATTTTTTTTTTTTGTCCAAATTGCAGTTTTCTGAAAACGAATGCCCAAGTATACTAATTATCACCGTATTTGAGCCTTTGGTTGTGAATTTCCATCATTTGGTTCTGGTTATCAGTAGAGATGTCGCGAACCGTTCGCGGCGAACTCCAGTCAGCTGACACATCCCGGCCAATCTCCAGCAGACCCTCCCTCCCAGACCCTCCTACTTCCTGGACAGCATCCATGTTGAAGGCAGCTTCAACATGGATGCTGTCCAGGAGGTGGAAGGGCCTGGGAGGGAGGGTCTGCCGGAGATTGGCAGGGATGTGTCAGCTGACCGGAGTTCGCCACAAACGGTTCGTGGCGAACCGTTCGCGGACAGTTCGCGACACCTCTAGTTATCAGTTATTCAATTTACTCCAGAAAATATAAAATCTGGTCTATGTTGATTATAAGTTTAGTGTTTTCTCTAAAACAGAACCAAAATAAATCACAAAAGACGTTTTATGGCCCATGTATATTTATTATAGAGCTCTGTCTGATATTCTGAATCTGTTTCCTAATTCTTAGATTATACTTTCAGTTCATTAACACATTTCTGGTCTTATCTTTTATAATTCCACTTTTAAACAGATATTTAATTGAAGTAATTGTTTCATCCCAATACGTCAAACCACGCCAAAGAATGACATGTTGGTTCTTTTTTCTCTGGCTGTATCAGTCTACAGCTTTTACGGTAACACATTGATTATTCTGGCAAAACTGATAGCAAGTCAAACAGGAGAAATCTGTTTCACAACTGAAATAAATGTTTATCAGTGACACTAAAAGTCCATGAAATTAGCTCAGCAGTATATCACCCAGATTCCAGTCGATTTACAGTGCCCACAAGGCACATGGAGTAACAAACTCAGAGATCCACAGTAACAAAATGACTTGGTAGGTTCTAAGAGGCTGATGTGCAAGATTGTAATTTTACTTAACACTACATTTTAGTGAATTTAAAGTCCAATTCAGATATTTCCTATATTAGCCTGAATTCTGCTTTGGAATTCCATATGATTCAATATCTAGTGGGATAAATCCTTACAGGACTATTCACTAAAGGAAGAATTTAAAGTGAAATAAAAGTGAATTTTACATTTCAGGCCAAAGTAGCTGAAATTGGAAGCCTAGTCAACTTAGAGAATTTCTTCAGCTCGGCTATTTTGATCTTAAATTTGAAATTCACTTTGAAATCTCACTTTAGTAAATAAGCCTGTCTGTGTCAATATGTGTTATTTTATTTCAAGCTTACAACCTAAACAAAAGAATGTGAAAGAGCGATACACAAGGTATAGAGAGAGCTTGGCTCACAGGCTTACAATCTAGAAGGAACTGGGAACAGGGGAGCACAAGGTATAGAGAGAACAAGGGACAGGTAAAACTAGGTATAGAGAGAGCTCAGCTCACAGGTTTATAATCTAGAAGGAATGGGGGACAGGAGAGCACAAGGTATAGAGAAAGCTCAGCTCACAAGTTTATAATCTAGAGGGAACGAGGGACAGGGAAAACTAGGTATAGAGAGAGCTCGGCTCACAAGCTTACAATCTAGAGGGAACCATGGATACAGTGGCGTACACATGACCCATGGGGCCCCGGTGCGAAAATTGATCCGTGGGCCCCCCCTCACTTACTCGGCGCGGGTCGGGGCTGCAACACATGGCGGCGGGCACCTGGTCGCAGGGCTGCGACCCTGCGACCGCGGTATGCACACACACTTAAAGGACCACTACAGACACCCAGATCACATCAGCTCAATTAAGTGGTCTGGGTGCCAGGTCCCTCTAGTTTTAACCCTGCAGCTGAAAACATAGCAGTTTCAGAGAAACGGCTATGTTTCACTGAGGGTTAATCCAGCCTCTGGTGGCTGTCTCATTGACAGCTGCTAGAGGAGCTTCGCGATTCTCACTGTGAAAATCACAGTGAGAAGACACTGAACGTCCATAGGAAAGCATTGAGTAATGCTTTCCTATGGGCGGTTTAAATGCGCGCGCGCGCCTCTTGCCACGCATTTGCATTCGGAGCTGAGAGGCGGACACTGGGGAGTCCGACGATGGAGAAAGGTAAATGCTGAAGAGACAAACACACACACTCTCACGAACAGACGCATACACACTCACTTACAAAACATACACTTTCACTGACAAACACACACTCACTAACAGACAAACACACTCAGTAACAGACACACACAGTAACACACTCACTAGCAGACACACACCCAATAACAGACACACTCACTGACACACACACTAACACACGCACTAACACAAACACTAATACACACACACTAACATACACTAAGACACACATACACTAACACACACACACATACACTAACACACATACTAACACACACACATACTAAGACACACATACACTAACACACATACATACTAACACACACACTAACACACACATACTAAGACACACATACACTAACACACACATACACACATACTAACACACACATACTAAGACACACATACACTAACACACATACTAAGACACACATACACTAACACACACACATACTAACACACACATACACTAACATACACACACACAAACACACACACACTAACAGACAAACACACTCAGTAACAGACACACACAGTAACACACTCACTAGCAGACACACACCCAATAACAGACACACTCACTGACACACACACTAACACACGCACTAACACAAACACTAATACACACACACTCATACACTAACACACATACACACACTAACATACACTAAGACACACATACACTAACACACACACACATACTAAGACACACATACACTAACACACATAGATACTAACACACACACTAACACACACATACTAAGACACACATACTCTAACACACACATACACACATACTAACACACACATACTAAGACACACATACACTAACACACATACTAACACACACATACACACATACTAAGACACACATACACTAACACACACACACACATACTAACACACACACATACTAACACACACATACACTAACATACACACACACAAACACACACACTAACAGACAAACACGCTCAGTAACAGACACACACAGTAACACACTCACTAGCAGACACACACCCAATAACAGACACACTCACTGACACACACACTAACACACGCACTAACACAAACACTAATACACACACACTAACACACATACACTAATACACTAACACACACACACATACACTAACACACACACACTCATACACTAACACACATACACACACTAACATACACTAAGACACACATACACTAACACACACACACACACACTAAGACACACATACACTAACACACATACATACTAACACATACACACACTAACACACACACACTAACACACACACACACATACTAACACACACATACACTAACATACACACACACTAACACACACGTACTAACACACACTAACACATTTTTATTTTTTAAATTTAATCCCCCCAGCCTCCTTACCTATTGGAGTGCTGGGGGGATTCCCTGGGGTCCAGTGGTGCTGCTGCTGGGCTCCTGGGCGGCAGGTCACTGGGTGGGCGGGCGCGCGAGGGAGCACTTTCCCCTGAGTGCTTCCTCTTCAGCTCCCTCGCGCGCCGCTTAGGGATGCCGGCGCCGGAAGATGACGTCATCTTCCGGCTTCGGTATCAGTGCGGTGCGCGAGGGAGCTGAAGAGGAAGCACTGAGTGTTCCCTCGCGCGCCCGCCTGCCCGGTGATAGCAGGGCCAGCCTCGGGGGCCCTGGGGTGGTCGGCTCATGGGCCCCCCAGGTGAAGAGGCTGGCCCTGTGGCTACATACCGGGTCGCAGGGGCGGCCGGGCCCCATGGTGGGCCGGGCCCGGTCGCAGCCGCGACCTCTGCGACCCTGGTATGTACGCCACTGCATGGATAGGAGAACACAAGGAATAGAGAGAGAGCTCGGCTCACAGGCTTATAATCTAGAGGGAACAGGGGACAGGAGAACACAAGGTATAGAGAGAACTGGCCTCACAAGCTTACACTCTAGACGGAATGGGGGACAGGGAAAAACAAGATATAGTGAGAGCTAGGCTCACAGGTTTATAATGTAGAGGGAATGGGGGACAGGGAATCTAGTTGGTAAGATATAAAAATAGTGCAATATTTATGATGCTTCATTTGCCATTTTATTGCTGGCCCCCACATCTGGCTTACGTAGGGTTACAATTCCAAAGCTAGTTTGTAGTAATGCTTAATAAATATAGCACTCACACTGTGCGTTCCTGGGATGCTCATTAGGATTCCGAACGCGTTTCCCTCTCTCCTGCCAAAAAGGATGTTTCATCTTTCATTTAAAAATGATACAGTGTTTCCCTCTGCTTTCCGTTACTATGATTGGCTGCAAACTTTAAATCAATAAGAATCAATGGCAGCTCTTTAAAATAAGGCCGTTGAGTCATAGATTTAATTTCTTCCGTTTTACACCCGACTCTTCTAGAAAAAAGCTTAAAGGGATGACAATATGAATTCAGTGATATACAGACTGAAATTATTTCTCAATTTACTTGAAACTATTGCAGTGTGGTAATCAGAGGCGTAGCTGGGTCACTAGTAACAAATGGTGGAAATCAATGTTAGCATCCCCCCAATCCCCAAATTTTAAACTTGTGTGTGTCGCTTTCACATTCACCCATCCCCTTGTGTGTTTCTCCAATTACACCTTTTGCCTTCTTAATTTTCTCTTAACAAGGTTACATCTACTCTATCTCTTAACCCCCTTTACCTCTTGTCTGTTTCTTAACCCTCTTACCCTTCTCTGTCTGAAGGTAAAAAAAGAACACACTCCACAGCAAGCGCTCAAAGTCCAAAGTTTACTTGGCACAAGGAGAAAACAGACAAACAGGAGGAAAAAGTCAAGCTAAACCCCACCTAACGCGTTTCCTTAAACATAGGAGTATCTGATATACAAAGTACACCCGTTAAAGATCACACTCAATAAAATACAAAGGCAAACGCCACTCCTCTACAAAAATCTTAAAATCTTTAAGAAACATAAATCAAGAATATAAATGGGAAAAGAAACATAGAATGTGACGGCAGATAAGAACCATTCAGCCCATCTAGTCTGCCCAATATTCTAAATACTTTCATTTGTCCCTGGCCTTATCTTATAGTTAGGATAGCCTTATGCCTATCCCACGCATGCTTAAACTCCTTTACTGCGTTAACCTCTACCACTTCAGCTGGAAGGCTATTCCATGCATCCACTACCCTCTCAGTAAAGTAATACTTCCTGATATTCTTTTTAAACCTTT